TTTTGTAATTGTTTTAGTCACTTAAGGGTGTTTTTGTCTTTTTATAGCCAATTGGTCATTTTGGGATTATTGTCAATTGGAAAAGTCAAAATGGAATTAGGGACCTTTGACTAGGTCATTTTGACAAGTACCCCGAGATATGCTGGGTTTTGGAAAATTCTGTTTGAATGTAACTGATTCCTAAATTAAAGGCATCAGTTAATCATTCCTTAATTATATATATAATTAAATTAGAAATAATATTCCAAATTAGAACTTGATATTTGAAACTGCAAAACATATACTGTAGTTTTGAAATGTAGTAAACTACAAAGCATATACTGTAGTTTTGAAATGTAGTAAAGTAACTACAGGACTTATGTATTGTTCCCTTATTCATATATATATCCATCCCTTTTGGAACCGTTAGTCTCAGTGTGGTGCAACAATGTGTGAAGAGAAGAGAGGAGCCGTTCTTGGTGATTTTGGAGCCATTGCTTCCCTTTTCTTTCTTCCTTCCTTAGTGGTTTATTGCATCCACCTATTATTGATTCTTTGTGGGTTAATAGGAGAGTGAAACTTGTGGCAACCAAGTGGAGGGAAGTGTTGGGTCGAGCTTGAGCCGTGTGGTGTCGATTGTGGTTGTTTCTGAGCCCGGAAAGAGAAGTTGGAGCATCAAAAATCCAACAGGACTCGATGTAATTGTATACTTGAATACAGTTAGCTCCTATGGCTCTCTGTGTTCTTAACTTGATAAATTTTTTAACGTGGGAAATTGCATTTTTTTTTTTTGGGTCCCGGATCTTTGATTAAATGTATCACATCTACTCTCAACTTTTTTTAACCTAATTCATTTCCAACTTTTGATCATTAAATGATGGATTCTGGAGAGCTATAAACATAAAAGAAAGTAGTAAAACAATAAAAATAAATAAAAATTGCAAAACAAGTCCCATGACGTTTCTTTCATTTAAAGTAATTAGATACATATTAAAACAGAAAATTATAAAAATTTCATCTTCCTCAACCAAGCTTACCATCCATATCAACGCATCCCACTCCCACCCGCGGTCAAACACTACCCCTTAAATGCAATCAAGGGCATTGGTGGCTCTGCAATCCAGAGTACTGATTTTTATCTAATTGTTTTTTTTTTTTCTGATTTTTTTTCCAAGGTTGTGGTAGTGATATCGTCATCATGCAATTGCATTTGTAGATGTGATGTTTGGCTATGGGTGATGGGTGAATAGGATGTGAGGTGAGTGGGTGAGTTTGATTAGTGAAATTCTTTTAAATTCTTTTTTATGTGTTGATATGTATTTAATTATTCTAATTGTGATTTATTTGTACTTTTGAAAAATTATGGAACTTCTTTGCAATTTTTTTTAGTGCATTCTTTTATATTTATTTGTTTAAATACAAGGACATTCGTCATTTAATGAAAAAATGGAAAATAATTAGATACATATTAAGTGGGTGTTTGGCCCCCATTTTTTAGGAAGAATTAGTTTTTGAATGGTGATGAAAAATTTTAGATTTGTGTATAATATTATTTTATTTGGAGAATATGTTGTTGAAAATGAGTACCGTAGAAAAATGAATGGGAAAAAAATGAGAAATAATGGGGCTCAAACATGGGCTACAACAGAAAATTAGAAAAATTTCATCTTCCTCAACCAAGTTGACCATCCATTTGACCATCCATATCAACGCATCCCCCTCCCAACCGCGGTCAAACACTACCCCTTAAATGCAATCACGGATATTGGTGGTTCTGTAATATTTTTATCTAGTGGTTTTTTTTTCTAAGATGGTGGTAGTGATATCATCGTCGTGCGATTGCATTTGTAGAGGTGATGTTTGGCTACAGGTGATGGGTGAATAGGATGTGAGGTGGGTGGGTGAGTTTGATTAGTGAATTTTTTTTTTAAATTCATTTTTGTGTTGATATGTATTTAATTATTTTAATTGTGATTTATTTGTACTTTTGAAAAATTATGGACCTTCTTTGCAATTTTTTTAGTGCATTCTTTTATATTTATTTGTTTAAATACAAGGACATTCGTCATTTAATGAAAAAAATAGAAGGAATTAAGAGTTTTATTACATAATTGAGAGGTAGGGATGAATTATACTAATTAAAGTATGAGTATATATTTATTATATGAGTAATGCTATTCGTCCTTATTGAGGTTACAAACACGACTTAGGTAGCGTTAATGTGACATTAAATAATATATGAAATTAAATAAACTATTTAATTTCACATTTCATTTAACCTATCATTTAGAGTCACCTATATTGTGTTTGAAACCCCACTGAGAATAAATAGCATTACTATTATTATATTTTGCGAAGTACGAAAATGGTGTATAAATGAGGTTTGCAAAGTAAGAAAATAATAAACAAGCCCTGTTTGACAATAATTTTTACAATTTTTTTTCTTTTTTTGTGAAACCCATTTTCAACTACACTTTCTCATAAAAAAATATTTTGCACATAAATTCAATTTTTTCTTTTTTTTTTATACGTTTCAATTTCACAATCTCCAAAAAATTATTATTCTAAAGCTCAGTTTCTCAAAAAAAAGAAATAATAATAATAATAATAAGGAAGAAGAAGAAAAAACTCTTTTTAATGATCATCAAACAGGTAATAAGAAAGTGTTTTATTATTATTATTGATAATTTCCTGAAACTGTAGCATTTGGGCGGCAAATGATTAAAAATTGGTTGCATGAGTGATGAGACATCATATAGGACTTATAGGTGGATTAGGCATGGCATTGCTTGCTTGCTTGATTGTGCCTTTTGTTTGACCTCTCAAGGAATATTTTATTTTCAACTTATGATCAAATTAAATTATGAAAGTACTTAATTAGCAAAATTATAACAATATTATGATTTAATTAAGAATCTCTTAAGAAATAATCTTTTCTCCCCCTAATTATCATTTAGGCCATGTTTGTTTCGGATTAAAATCAGACTTTAATCTGAATTCATAGATCATGTTTGTTTTGATGTATTAAGAAAAATAGGGGTGTAAATGTATCATTTTCTAAATATTTTGGTTTATGTGGTCCTATGAACTTATCAATTAATTAGCTCTTTAATCAATATTGTTTCAACTTTCAAAGAAAATTTAAGCTAAAATTACAGGTTAAAGAAAATTAGAATTGATGTTTCAAATTATAGGTAGAGAAGCTACTTGTTCTATTTCACGTAAAGTTGGAGACTTCGTGATTTTCCAGCTTCATTATATCGAGCCTCTAACCTGAATAGCGAATGTCGTTTAAAAGTTTTGAATGATAATATGATCTATCTCAAAGAGACCATTTAAACATGAGATACTCTCTATTTTAAAGAATCAACATTTTAATTTAGAGAGTGGGTTTAGAGAGCCAAACTCACTCTTTATAATTAAATGTATTCAAAATGTTTAAATTTTCAATGTAGGAAAATAATANTTGGAGAGCCAAACTCATTCTCTATAATTAAGTGCATTCAAAGTGTTTCAATTTTTAATGTATGAATACAATAAAATAATCTAAAGAAAAGCTAGTTAAAATAAAATATAAAAAAATAATAAATATTTTTTAATAGTAGTAAAATTAAGTGTTAAATATAAAGAGTTTGTTGGAGTACTTCAAAATTTGGAGATTATATATAATCCACCTAGCACATTGTTTCATACTCACGCTGATGTTATGCATTAGATCCTCTTCCCAGCTTTACTGACTATTTATCCAACCTATACATTCCTAAAATGGTCAATCATTTGCAGTTACACCATCATTGTCCTTATTCTTAGAGTGAATATACAGACACAAGTATTCCATCTTAATTCACTTAACCTAAAACCTTTAGATTTCAACGTACAAAGTTCTAACTTATGATTTATTTATCTCCCTCCTAATTTTACCAACTAAAAACATATCTTTAATGAATAACATACAAATCATATCTTGGAAATATCTAAAGCAAAAATATAAGTACTTCGGATAGAATCTTAAATCAAGATCATATCAAGAGAAATTTCTCTACTACTATCGCTATTTGTCTATCTCATTTGTGACTGCTCCAATATACATATCATTAATCACCCCTCGATAATTTTATAGTATCACTAATTATCTTAATACCTGTTTAATTTGTACAATCTTGATTATCTCCTATATTCGAGTAAGTAGGCACCATATAACGCCCATTCAATCTATCTCGTGGCGTT